GCTATTTTCTTATTCAACTCAACTTGTTGCCTTCGTGTTTGAACCAACTTCTCGTTGACCCTCCAGCGGGTTTTCTGAGGCACTGGAGGAAACTGCCCATTTTTGTCTACAGAGTGATGAGTGGATTCGAACCACCAGAGAAGCATACATATAGCCTTTGGCTTAGCAGCACAATGTCCTATGGACCAACTCTGCCACTAGAGTTCTCTATTTGTTTTCTGTTGTTGTTTTTGTTGTTCTGTCCAATCCTGCTCCATCCTCATCGCCTCTGATATACCTGAGCCCATCGCTTCAGTCACTGTGTCAGTCCATCTCGTTGAGGGTCTTCCCCTCCTTCTCTGACCCTCCACCTTTCCCAGCATGAGCTCTTTTCCCAAAGACTGTCCTCATCCTAACAACATGCCCATCCTTTCCTTTAACACATTGCCGCACACTTTTAAAATTGACGACCATGCTTAGAAACACATCTGCCATCATTTGCGGCAACGTGTTAAAGAGCACTCCACTAGTACATCGTGTAGTATTATGTAATCATGCATTATTATTTAAGGAGCTCTGGTGGCCTAAGGGTAAGGAGCTAATTTGTCAATCCCAAGGCACTTAGTTCAAATCTACCAGCTGCTCTGTTGGAGAAAAATGGGAAATCTCCTCCCATGTGATTTATAGCCTCTGAAAACCTACTGGAGGGTCAGCTATGAGTTAGTTTCAATTCAGTGCTATGTAACAACATCTTATTGGCATTTATTTTAAGCTGGGATCTGCTGCTATGCGTGAGGTTTTCACTGGCCATTATTCCCCCCCTAGAAGAAGTTCTTTCTAGTCTGGAAGCTCCATTTTTATTTGGTTTCGTTCTCCTCTGGTGGTCTGGTCCATAGGGAATGACACTGTTAGCCCCAAGGTGGCGCCTCTCTGATGGTTCAAATCTCCCAGTAGCTCCAAAGGACAAAGATAAGCAATTTCCTCGGGTGCAGTTTACAGCCTGGGAAACCCATCCGAGAGTCAGCCACACGATGACAATGAGTCTTTGAGAGGTTTTTGGTTTGTTTTGTGTTCTGAAGGCCCTGGGAGATATTACCTCTATTTTGCAGATGGGGAAGCTGAGACGGGGAAGTAGGGTGATTTAGCTGACGCCTTAAAGGGCACAGTTGCCATTTGAGTGTACCTCATTTGGGCCCCAGTGACTGCACACTTGCCACTCCATTTGGTGGCCCTAAATAAGCAATGTGATGCATCATGGACAAAGGCAGCAATTTTAAGGTTTTACTTGAGAAGCTCCCTCAGTAACAAGTTTAAAGCCCCATGTCTTAAATGGCATAGACACTCTTCAACATAGAGTCAGAGTAATACCTTCGGTTCCTGCTGGTCTTCTGATTTTAAGATATTTGTCCCTCAGCAGACATTATTACAGAATATATGCACTGGGCTGCTGGACTTTTCCTTGACTGTCTTCCTCATGACTAAAGATTTTGAAGGTAATGCTTATCGTTTCTGTTGTTGCAAGAGCTTTAATCACAATTCGGGAAGTTCTCCCCATTTCTAACTGTACTCCCTCTTCAGCTCTGTAGCATAAATTTGCCTGACGGAAGCCAACCACAAATTGTGTCAGACTCAAAACACAACAAGCCAGTGGTCATTTTCTCTTCAGAAGCTGGCCATACCTGTACTCACTGTATTTGCTAATTAGTGATGCTGGCCATGTCTACAGGGGAGATCTGTCCTTCTGGTTTCCTAGTTTGAGCATGAAATGAATTTGGGAAAGCCAGGCTGTGACTTCTCCCGGGCAACACATGAGGATGCTATGCGCACACTTGCACTGTGGTTCCACACTGCACAGGCGGAAGGAGACCATTGATCCCAGCACAAACTAGCTGAGAGACCAGCAAATGGGGGCATAATAAAATAATGGTAACACTCGCCACTTATTGGGTGCTAACTGCATGTCAGGCTCACCCTCATCAGTCTACTGTCTTAACCCTTCGTATCCCACCGAGCTAGGAATTGATTCTCTCTACACCTTAGTTATCGCTGCACACAGAACACAGAAAGTAAACAATTCACCAGCTTGAGTATGGGCCCACAAGCCATATTGCTCAGACTCAGATTTGTGGATTCATTGCCTGCGTTTCCTGATACTGAGAGAATTGCTGGATTGCAGACAAGGGTGGAATCTGCAAAAGAAATCCTTTTACTCCAAGCAGCCTGTTTCTGGAATCCATCCTTCTAGCTCCTGCTCTGTATTGTGCCAGTAAGGACACTGAGAAGCAAGTGACTCGATGAAAGTTACACTCACTAAGAAGGAGCCTGGATGGAGCAATGGGTAAAGCATGCGGCTGCTCACGGCTACTCTGGCAGTTTGAACCCACTCTAGAGAAAAGGTCTGGTGATCTGTTCCCATAAAGATTGTTACTGCTGTTGTTCGGTGTTGCTGGGCTGTTTCCAGCTCAGAGATTGTATGTACAACAGGACAAAATGCTGCCTGACCCTGTGCCATGGTCACAATTATTTTTAGGCTTGAGCCTGACAAAGCCATGGGGCAGTTCTGCCCTGTCCTGTGGGCCACTATGAGTGGAAGCCAGCTCAATGGCACACAAGGACAGCAAAGGATCATCAGGTCCTGTCGAATCAGAGCAGCTCAGGGTTAAGACCCAATCTTAAAGTACTCAACAGAGGCATTCAAATCTTGCACTGCTCTGTAGTATGCCCCCATCAAACACCTTGCTCCAGGCCTCTTTGCATGGCGCATTATGTCACGTTGACTGTGCAAAGGGAATATGCATCATTTGACTTTGATCTTTGGATGTCATTCCAAGTGTAGACATAAACCACATTCGTTCTATAGTGTTTCCCTTATCCGCCATGGGGAGGAAATGACAGAACTCTTTTCTAGTCATGGGCGAAAAACATGGAAAAAATACTGAACCCCGGAGGCAGCAGCTAGTTAAACACATGCATTCCACCTGCCTGCTGTGGACATGATCCCTTTTGCAAACCGAGGCACACCTCTGTGACTCCCACTTGTTAGAATGCCTTTTTGTCCCGATGAAAAGCATCCAGGTTCCATAAAGAGTTACAGACACTCTCCAGCCCCTCTTGGGATTAGAAGTTCTTGTAAGCACAAGCACCTTCTCTCAGCATGCCAAGAAATGCCACCTCCCTTCTTCCATATGCCACTTAACTCTCTCTTGGAATGCCATCAGTAATTCAGACATCAAAGTTTGCAAATGGTTTTAGAATGCAAGCAGATGAAGTCAGAGTAGAAATCTCTTTAAACCTATTGTCGCTGAGTTGATTCTGACTCATAGTGACTCTATGAGGAGAAGCCGACTGCCACATCTTTCTACCTTGGAGCAGCTGGTGGTTTCCAACCGCTGGCCTTTATGTTAGATGCCAAGTGCCTAAGCCCTGTGCCTCCAGGACTCCCCTGGGAAATAGTAAGGGGATCTGGTGGCAGAGTGTCCCCCTTTCAAATTCATCACCCACTCGCTCTGCAGGCAAAAGATGGGCAGTTGCCTGTACAGGTTTACGGCTTCAGAAACTTGATGGTGGTATACAACCACCCACTGCTGAATTTGGCTTAAAAGAGAAAAAGAAACCTGATGGTCTCTACTAGTTGGGATCAAATGCAACAGCAGGGTAAACATAAGTATTAAATTGTTGGTAGTTGTGGTGGTGGAGTCGGCTGGGACTAATATGGCCTGATGAACAACAGGTCTGAAGTTTGCCCTATCCTGCAACAGCTTCATCTCTCGAGCTTATTAGAAGCACTCAAGCTTTAAGGGAACTGGAATAACCAGGAGACTCACTGAAATGCCCCTTCTGCAGAGATACTCATTTAGTAGGTCTAAGTAGGGCCAAGGAACTTAGACTTTACATAAGTCTTCCAGGCTGCTTTGTGGAACATGGCTCTATATAATGTCATAGGCCCAAGAGAGATGAGTGTCCATCGCAGGGGTAAATGTGTAAAGCGGTGTGAGAGTATCTGGAACCACATGGTGATTGGCAGGCAGTTTGCCAAGAAGATGCAGACCAGGGTGGTGAGAAGGAAAGAACCGCAGAGGACGACAAAAGAGAAATGGTTTCTACTCAACGAGTCTGATTAAGGTGGCTCTGTGTACCTACTTTACAAAATGATGATACGTGATAAATGATTACTAAATTCTAGTCTGGCTTCTTTTCCAAGAACCCAGCAAATGGCAGAAGATTCAGTGTGGCAGGAGGTCCTGGAACCCCAGAATGGCGTGAAGAGGCTTTAGCAACAATTTAACAACTTATATAGAGATTCTCAGAGGAGCCCCTGGGCACAGGGGTTAAGTTGGACCAGGGACTGGCTGTGGTTAGGGGCAGGGGCTAAGGCCATGGAACTTGAGGAGGCAAGATCAAGGATAAGAAATGAGTCCCTGTCAATAAACTGGTCAATGACATGAAGATCAAGTCCCTGGAGGGGACCTGTCTCTTCTCCCTGCCCCTCAAGGAGCCTGAGATCATGAACCTTTTCCTGGGGTCATCCTTCAAAGATGAGGTTTTGAAAATCATGCCTGTATAAAAGCAGATGTGTGCTGGCAAGTGGCGCAGGTTTGAGACATTTGTCACGATCAAGGTCTGTAACAACCATGCTATTCTGGTCACAAGTGTCCTAAGGAGATGATGGCCGTCGCTATTTGCTGCGCCAAGGTTGCCATCATCTCTGTGCAGTGAGGCCACTGGAAGAACAAGATCAGCGAGGCCCATCCTGCCACTACGAGGCCATCAGCTGGTGCAGCTCACCAGCCCCATGCCCACACCCAGAGACGCTCAACTGCCCCATCCCCATCAAAGAGTAGCTATGAGTATGTAAGGGACTTGAGACCCCAAAACCAGGAGTATACATGCTAGTTTGAAAGCATTACTTTTTTTTTTAAAAGGTTCAAATTTAATGTTTATCTCTTCAGCCATGGGACAAATCTTGTTTTTATAAGTCATAGGGGAAATGTTGTTGAAATGGTTCCATTTCAATCTCTCACCTTCTGCGCTGCCTGATCCCAGACAAAACCAGCAATGTGATGGCAACGATGACGATGCAAAAGATCACACCAAACACAATGATCCAGACGGGCACCATCGGATCGGAGGATGATGGAAGAGTGGACGGGATCTTTAAAAACTCCAGAGTCTGGTCATTCAGAAAGAAGGCACTGTTGATCCGGTTCCTGTTCTTTCTGAAGTGCATTGATAATTGAAAGCAAACAAAACAAGAAGGAGGAATAAAAGCATTAGCAGCGAAAGTGTAGACTGTGATGATTAATGTCTCTACAAACAAAACATCCCCCTAGCGTGAGCCTCTGGGTTGGCTAGAAAGTTCCAAGAAGGCACTCTGTCATACTGTGGTTTTCTTTTCTTTGATTGCAAAGCTGTCAGTCTAAGACTGCTAATCAATGCACTGCTGCCCTCCGCTGTTGGGACTGCCCTAGAGGTAACTGGAAGTCCTCAGTTTTGAGCTCTGCCACCAGTCTTTGTTTCCTGAGAGGTACTTTCTTCATTAGAATCTTTTAAGATAGTTCATATACCAACAGACCTACAGGGTTGAACAGATAATTCTACAGGGTTGGACAGATAATTCTGTCAGTAAGTTGTATAAAAACTGATTTTGCAAAAGTTGCACGATAGAAATAGTTACAGCAACGATGAAAAAAGAATGGTTTCTGAAGCTGCTTTGGTGAAGTCAGAACCTTATGGGACTTGGTTTCTTGGTTTGGAGGTTTAGAGTCATGGTTTCATGGGACATACTCATTAATTGGCCTGATATATGTTTAGTGCTTCTGTTTTACAAACTCCTGGATTTTTTGTGTAGTGTCTAAGGTTATAAAAGTACACAAGCAGCTATCCAAGGCAAGACAGTTAGTCTCTGTAACAGAGAAAGAAGGAGAGTCAGGAATGGGTGAGGGCAAGAAAATGCGTGGTTAAATTGCCTTCTGAACATTTTTTTCAAGTACCATGAAACCTGAAGAACTAGTTCCCAGCTACCATTACTGAATATTTTTATCAAAGGTCCTATAGAGGAAATCTGATCAAAAGGGGGGGAATGTAAAATAGAATTCAAATTCTCAGGAATCCAGACTTTCAGGAGCCATAAAGGCAGAATGGACCCCTTGAAATTACTGCCCACCCCTAAATAAAAGAAATTACTGCCCCAAGGAAATCTTTACAACTTAAGAAAAAAAATCTCCTTAAGTCTTCTTAAAGCCAAACAGTAGTTTAGCTTAACTAGCAAAAAACATATACTTTGAGCATTCTGATCATTAAAGAGCTATCAAAAAATATTTTTTTAAAAAAAAGACCTATCCATATCTGACCTAATAGACAGATTAGATAGGAACCTTAAGGGGGGCAATGAATTTATGTTAATGAAGGGGAAAGGAGGGTGAGAATGATGACACAACTCAAAGGATATAATCAGTGTCACTGAATTGTGAATGGAAAGACCCGTGGGATGATGTATGTTTTTGCTGAGTGCATTCTCAACAACTGTTTGAAAACCTTTAAAAAGATACCACATTTCCTAAAACAGAAAACTGTATATTAAAAATTACAGATAAACATAAGAAATTTGAGCTTGAAGGAGACAGGAAGCCAAGAGTGTGATCTTCAATAATTTGATAATTTGCTTTCTTTATCATGAGTACAACAAACATTTGCTGACAATTTAGTAAGTCTCATATACCATAATACCAGGTCATTGCACTAGGGATATAATTGCTTGTGTCCAATGAATCTTGACTGAAAGCAGAGAGTACCAGAAGGATGTCTACTTGTATTTTATTGACTATGCAAAAAAGCATTTGTGTAGATCACAGCAAACTGTGGCTAACGTTGAGAAGAACAGATGTGTTCATGGAAAACCTATATCTAGGCCAAGAAGTTGTTGTCCAGACAGAGCAAGGGAGCCCTGCATGATTCAAAACCAAGAATGGAGTGCACCAGGGTTGTATCCTTTCTTTCTCCATACCTATTCACCATGCATGCTGACTTCATGAAGAAGAGTGTGGCATCAGGATTGGAGGAAGACTCATCAACAACCTGTGTTAAGTAGATGACAACCCTGCTCACCTTAAGTGAAGAGTACTTGAAGTACTTGCTACAGAGGATCAAGGGCTATAGCCTTCAATATGGGCTGCATCTCAACGTCAAGAAAACAAAAGTCTTCACTACCAGGCCAATAGGCTAATAACCATCTCCATCATGATAGACAGAGAAAGGACTGAAGCTGTTAGCGATTTCATCTTACTTGGATCCACAATCTTACTAGGATCCTTTAGCACCAGCAATCAGGAAATCAAAAGATGGTTCATTGGGAAAATCTGCTGTCAAAGACTTCTCTGGAAAGCTAAAGAGCAATGATATCAGTCTAAAGACGAAGATGTGTCTGCTTTGAATTATCGAAAGGAACAATGCTATGAAAGGTATGTTCCTTTCAACTGCTTGCTATGCATCCAAAAACTGAACTAAGGATGACATAAGAAAAATCAATGAGTTTGTGTTGTAGTGAGAAGAGTATTGAGCATGCCATCGACAGCCAAGAGAACAAACAGGTCTGTCCTAGGAAAGGATGGTGAAACTCTATCTCATATACTTTGGGCATATTTTCAGGAAAGGCCAGTCTTTGGAGAAGGACATCATGCTTGCAAAGGTGGACAGCACAAGAAAGGAAGATCCTTGATGAGATGGCTGACACAGTGAGTGGACTAATGGGGTCAAGTGTCTCAGAAATGATGAAGTTGGCCCAGGAAAAATGATGAAGTTGGCCCAGGAAAGAGCTAGGTTCAGTGCTGTTGTTTAGAGGGTCGCTACATAACAACAACAATAGCAACAACATATACCATGCAGGGTACAGGAGAGAGATAGTTAACATGTCAAGGAGCTTACAGTCTAGAGGGGGATTGTAAGGATGAGTACATCCATAATTACAAGGGAGAGACAGAGAGGGGCAGGTCTTCTTGGGCAGTCAGGGCCGCTTTCTTGAGAAGGTAAACTCTTGAGCTGTGTTTTGCAGGACAAGTAGGAGTTCTTTAAACAAAAGTGGGCAGGAAGTGGGGCTACTTGAGGAGCAAAAGTGACAACATAAGAAAGGAGACATGATATAGAATGATTTACTCAGTAGATTACAAACAATTCTATATGAATAAAGAGAATGGTGGTTTGGATAATGTCCTAGCTACTTAATGGAGGAAACCCTGTAACTTTGGCTATGGTGGTGGGGAGACGGGGAGCAAGTTCAGGAGGAGGTTGGCAGCCAAGACTTACTTGACTGAAACAAAGCGTATGGATTTCTAACTGGAATTTGCTGAATACCTTGACTGAATTCACACTTTACAAGTGAAACTGATCTACTTTTCAAGTAGTAGAAGCAGAACATGAGCTACATGATGATTTAAGAGCTCCAAATGCTGCTTTTAGAAAAAGTAGAAATAATTCAGTGACGTAAACCCTGATGATATCTTTTCTTTAGCTCAGGAGATCCAAGAGAGCATCTCTTCAACATGTAATCAATATTTGCAAGTTATTATTATTGAAATGTTTTACACTGTTGTTGTTAGTGGCTGCCAAGTTGATTCCAAGTCATGGTGATCCCAGGCGGAATTGAAACAAACAAGAACAAGAGGTTTTGTTATCTCAATAATGAGTGAAATCGATCTTGAAAACTCTAGAGAGGATGCTTCTACTCTTCACACATATTCATTTTCAGTTTAATAAGCATCGTGATGTTACCTTTTAAAGGAAATGAGTCTGTCAAGATGGAAGGACTTATAGACATTGATTACAAAAGGCAAGTGCTTAGAGACCTGAGACATGGGAAGGTGTGACTTGTCCCTCAAAACATCTTATACCTGAGAGCTCATTTACTCTTCTGTGGGCAGTGGTATAATTAACCCCATTTTACAGATGATGAGAGGAAAGCACAATGAGATAAAGTAACCTATCCACATTCATGTCATCAGGAAGAGGCAAAGCCAGCAGGAAAAGCATTGGCAATCTGCTCTGGTCCACGTGACAAACCATCACGTGATGCTGCCATTATGAGGTGTTCTTGCCAGATGCAACTAAGATTAACCATTCTTAGCTAATATTTAAGTCAGAGTTCCTGAACCACAGCACTTCTGACTTTGGTGTGGAATCATTCTTTGGTATTGGGAACAGTCCTGTGCATAGCAGAATGTTTAATAGCATCTTTGGCCTCTGCTTCCTCAGTGCACGTGGCTGTAAAGGCCAAGCCCTCTCTGGGCTCCAAATTCTCCTCAGAGGCAAACAGCCCTTGCATGTGGATTCCTATCCTATACTACTCTCTGTTATCAGTTCATGAAATGAAATCCTTGACCCTTGACCTCTGGACAATGAGGCCCCTGTGAAAAAGCCATCTTCAAAAGGGATGAGAAGAGCTGAATGAATCCACCCCAGGAGAAAGCTGCCAGGGCAGTGATTACCTTATGGCTGACTGTACCTCAACAGCAGGCAGGGTATGGTTTTTCGTCAGGTCTGTAACCACAAACCAGAAAGACACTCGCTGGGTTACATTGCAAAGTAGGACATTGGAAATGCTGCAGACATTGGAAAGACAGAGGAGAAAACCAAAATCAGAAAATCATACTGCATGGTGTTTGACCAGCCAGCCACCCTGATGCTGTTGGTATCTTTAGTCTTGGGTACAAATGGAGAGTCACTTCTATCATTATGAAGAAACTTATTAAGAAGAAAATGGTATCAGACAAAATTCCCTTTGATTTCAAAGTCATACACGTATGTGTGTCATTCTTTAAATAAGGAATATGCCATAAGTGAATGAATGAATGAATGAAGCATGGAATTAGTGAGTGTAGAGTGTCATCCTTTTGGATGACAGCACTGAATGTTGACCAGGACAAATAGAGACATTGCACTAGTGTTCAAAGAGAAGACCACCTCCTTCTGAATGGAGGAAGGTGGAACATTCTCGAAGATTCCAGTAAAGTCAGCATCACTGCCTGTGTAAAAATTAGAAATCATCCATGGCTTCCAGTATTTCCCCGAGAGCTAGCCTGAACAAGACAAAACCCAGCACTAACAGTCTTTCTAGAAGAATGAAACGTGCATTACACACATCACATTTACTGAGGTAATATTGTTGTTGTTGTTGTTGTTATGTGCCTTCGAGTCGTTTGCGACTCATAGCGACCCTATATACAACAGCCCTAAACCCTGCTCTATCCTGCACCAACCGCACTGCCTCTGACACACCCATCCCGATTACCCCAGTCACCGAGTCAATCCAGCTCATAGAGGGTCTTCCCCTCCTGCGCCGTCCCTCCACCCTCCCAAGCATGATGTCCCTCTCCAAGGACCCGTCCCTCCTGGCAACATGTCCAAAGTATGTCAGACGAAGCCCCAGAATCCTTGCCTCCAAGGAGTAGCTTGGTTTAATCCTCTCCAAGATGAATCTGTTTGTTTTCCTGAGGTAATGACAGTAGTAATTAAGGTCTTTTAAAAGATCATTTGGTGAGCTCTGGTGGCCTAGTGGCACGAAGGTGTACGGCAATCCCAGAGGTGCACGGTTCAAATCCACCAGATGCTCTGCTGGAGAAGGAGGAACAATCTCCTCCTGTACCAGTCAGATCTGATTTGACAGTACACGCACACACACACACAAATTAAAAAAAAAAGAGAAATCATTCACCTGCATTATGTTTACTGTCACCCAATTACAGAGAACACCCTATTTTTCTAAAAGCTTTCTCGTCTATCTAGAATTTTCTGGTCAAGATTCTTGTCATCTCTGCCTTTGAATTTTGTACAAAAAATGGACACAATGGTTCGGGGGCCCCCTGTGCCTGGAGCCCACCACCTGGGCCCCCCACCCCCGCGGTGGGCAGGGTGGACCACACTCCCCGGTGTCCCCCACGTCGGGGCATCGTTTGGACGAGGCTAGTGTGACACGTCACAGCCACATGACCGGAAGGAGCGCGTGCGCTGTTATGGCAACCACAGGAATCAACAACTGGTGGAGCGTGCTGCTGGGACCCGTGCTGCACGGCTATCTTCCACCTAGGCTGGCTGCCGCTCGAGTCACCGAGCCCACCGCGCCACCTCCATGGGCAGCTCTCTGAGCAGCTACGTGCCCTGGCTCAGGCCTGAGACCGCGCAGCCGCCACGCCACGAGGTAGGGCCGCAGTGGGAGCCCAAGCCTTTCCTCTGCTACACTGCTCATGTCTGCCCCGGCCGGTGGAGGCGCTGTCGCTCCTTCCACCAGCTGCCGGGGAGATTGGAGCAGTACCCCTTGCAGGACATGCTGGTGCTTGAAGCCTGGAGGTGCTCTCGCTACAAGCGGAACCCCTACGCTCCTGTCCGGGAGGACTACCTGAAGCACTGGCTGTTTTCCATCCACAACCCCAGACGCCTGTCGAGCCCGGTGACTGTGAAGATCAGGCCCCCGGAGCGCCGACAGCACCCTCAAGCTGCCCAGGCCATCCAGGCCTCCCAGGCCCAGGGCTCGCTCTATACCATGAGCACCCTGCCAGCACCGCAGCCAGACCCCTGCTCTAGGGAGGTGGTGCTGCAGGCCCTGCAGCGCTGCAACAAGGGCAAGCGCAAGTTCGACAAGCCCCTGTGGTTTGAAGACCCCCAGGACAAGAAAGAGAGGTACCGCCAGAAGAACGTGGGGACTGCCTTCAAGCCGGTGGTGGTGAATGGCATGGTCCGACCCTTCGTGCCCAAACCGGGACCGTTGAACTCCTGTCCCAGCAAGTGGAGCTGCCGCATCTGCGAAAATGTGTCTGTCTCCCCGCCTGCCCCCCAGGCATGCCTGGATGCCCCTCGGGATGCCCCTCAGGCTACCCCTCAGGCTACCCCTCAGGCTGCCCCAACCAGTATTTGTTACTAAGCCTAAGAGCCAGGTGCCCAGATCTTTCCCCCTGCTGACCCCTGTTCTATGCTGAGGTGGCCTCTACCCTCCATCGCAGCGCCTCCACGGAGGAAATGCCCATTGCTTCAAGCCTCTGTCTTCCCCATGCCCACCCCAGTCCCTCCTTCCTTCCTTCTCCACACTGGACACAAATCCACCAGGAAAACTTTCCTTCCTCCTGCCCCATTTTCCTTGTTTGAACAAAGCAATATTTGTTCTTAATAAAAACAGTATCAACAAGTAATAAAGATTGGTGTCTCTGCCGCCAGGTTGGTACCCTGAGGCTGTAAGTCTTGACTAGAGGAAACTGCCCATCTTTCTCTTGCAGAGTGGATACCAGATTCCAAATGCCGACCTGGGGTTAGCAGCTCGGTGCTACCAGGGCTCTTTTTTCATTATGACAGGGTTGCTCAAACTCTTTCTCATTGCAGACATTAATATTTCCTCCACAGTGGACTTTCTTGATGGAGTCATACCCACCAGAAGGACTGGATCACTTTTTGTGGGAGGAGATGAAGGTGGAGGGGTGGGGGGGTAGTATTCTGTCCTCTGTAGGGTTTTCAGCAATAATCCTGACTTCTACCCAGCAGGGACCGGTAGCACACCCACAGTTGTGTCAAACCAGAATGTCTCCAGGATTTGCCAATTACCTTGGGGGTAGGTGTGGGAGGGAGTGAGGTACGGAGGTGGGAGTAGAGTTGGCAGAACATGGGTCAGGGTGGAGAGGTTAGGAAGGGAGGCAGTGGAGGGACACTAAGACACAGCTACCCCCACTCGCAGTCAGAATCAAACTCGTGCCATTTTAGAATACAAGCCAAAGACAAGACCGAATAGTTGGAGGTGTGGATGACTCAGTTCGCCCCACCATCTCACAATGCATGAAAAAATGGAACACTCCTTGAACTCTTCTGATTGGCACACGCTGACAAGCTAAGCAGTACCTGGCACTAGAAATGATGCTGGGAATTGAAAGTTCACACAGGGCTGTGGGAGAGGTGTCCAACAACTCAGTCATCAGAAAAGTCATTTGGGAACATCTCCTAAAAGTGAGAGCAGGTCTTTGAGAAACCTCCCTTACATACAGTGAGAACTTAGTGAGGATGTTGGACACAACATCATTTCTCATGGAGAGAATTGAGACAATCTCAATGTCCATCACTGAGTGCCTGGAGAAAGTAAAGGTGGTGTATGCCTTCAAGGAATGCTGTTCACCAGGTACTTGACATGTACCTGGCCTCAGTTTCTCTACCTCACCCCTGTCAACATTGGGGCAGGGTGCTTGTTGGTAGTGGGCAGCCCTGTGCTTTGTATATTAACTTGGCTTCTTTGCATCCTTGGCTTCTACCCATTAGGTGCCGGGCACAGCCACAAAAAACAAAAAAATGCCTCCAGACATTTTCACATATTCTTGGGAGGAAGAAGGGGACAAAAATCGTGGTGAAATATTGGTGAAAATGGTCTATCTTTTTTTTTTGTAGCAAATATTTTTTAATTGGGTGAAAAGTTTAAAATTATTTTTTTATAAGTACATTGGAGAATCATGCGATGCTGCCAGCATTGGGTGCAATCCTGGGCCACAAATCTGCACACTCCTTTGCAGCTGGCCCAATGATGGCAGAACCTTTCATCTTGCCTTTATGGTTTAGTATGACTCCTGCATTATCTTAAAAATAAAGAAACACCCCATCTTTTCTCCACTATAACTTTCGTTGTCTGGATGTACCTTCTTTCTGAGCTCTGGTTTCCCTTTCTTGACAGTGGCCATCGCCACGTCACCCTTACCAGCAGCAGGAAGTCTGGTAAGTCGTCCCTTGATCCCCCTCACAGAGATGATCTATAGATTTTGGGCTCCTGTATTGTCAGCACAGTTGATCCCTGCTCCTACCGGAAGACCCAGGGAAATCTGGAATTTTGCACCAGAACTTTGCACCATCACATTAGGGCCCCGCTCTGCCCTCTCTGGCTCCGGGGAGCAGTGTGTGTCCCAGCTGCCTATGCCTGTCGTTCTCGGTGAGGCCAACAGCTACTGTGAAACAGATGGCAAAGGATATGCCTCTACTGTAAATTTAAAATTATCACTTAAATTATATGCACAGACACAATATACAGCAATGAAACAGTTACTTAAAGCATTTCCTGGGCACAGAAAAAGAAACTACAAGAAAAACACAACACCTAAGCACACCTAAGCAATGGATTAATAAACACTCCTTATTGATTATATGGATAAAGAGAGAACTATGAATATATTTTTAATATAATAGTAGATTGTAAATGCAAGACAATGGCCCTAATCACTTTAAGGGTGGTCTTAATAATGATTGGAAATTTTTTAAAAAGGTTTTTTTATGTATTCAATGCATCTGGTGTATATTATTATGCCACTCACCATACTGGTGTTTTAAGTAGCCTAATTTCTCTTTTTAAAAAAAGGAATAATCTCAGCTGCTAAGGGTCCTCGTCAACAGAAGAATCTGTCCTACTTGATAGTTCTGTCCAAGGCTAAGACTTTAAGGGAAAAAAAGTTAACTCGTATTCAACACATGTCAACCATAGAAAGATAAGCGTAGAGATTTCTACTTGGTGCCACTACAGAGAGTTGAACTAATAATAAATAAGCTTATGTTATTATAAATTAGCAGTTTCTTGGCTCCTCCAGAAGCAGGAGACAGAGGCCCAACAAGAGATAAGCCCCAGGCAATGAGAAGCTGCTTCTCCCATGGCCATTCCATACCATATCTACCAAGAGAATAGCCTACTATAGCATAAGAGAAGGAAGAGAGAGTACTGGGTCATTATTATCTTGTGTCTACTGTATTCCAATAGACAGACTCTAGGTTAAGAGCCAGGGTATTAGACATGCTTCATTCATTCACAAATATGTATGAAGAACTAAATTTAATTAGGCAACCTGATTGGGAATTCTTAGGACTAGAGTTCCTACTGCAAGGCTATTTAAAGTACGTGATTCCATAAATGTAGAAGTTTAGTTATATTAAGGCTCTTGCAAGACCAAAGTCACAGCGACTTAAGCCCACCAAAACAAGACACAAAAGGGATTTCTTATATTCTAGCATCTTTGACATGTCAAAATTTGCTCCTAGGAAGACTTTGTGTCTAGTCTGTGACTATGTCCAGAAGGGTGGAGATTACAGATTGTCTCCAATCTTTGTCAAAGGTGTTTCTGATCCTGCCCAGATTTTAACTTCATGTTCTTAAAAAGAAAAGACACCTTTTAAACAGTTCTCTCCCTCATCTGTTTCAATGCAGTATACATAATCTATCCAGTCTTTCTCAGTCTTACCCCAACCCCGATGTCAGTCCCATTCTACAACAGTGGCACCATGCAGTATTTGTCCTTTTGTGACTGAGATACTTCACTCAGCATAATGTCCTCCAGAGTCACCCATTTTGAATAATACTGCATGAGTTCCTTGTTTTTCAATGCAGTATAGTATTCTATTGTGTTAATATACCACAACTTCTCTATCCACTCGCTTGTTGATGAACACTTGGGTTGTTTCCAACTCTTTGGTATTGTGAACAAAGCTGCGATAAACATGGGTGTGCATTTATCTGCTTAGATGGTGGTTATGGTTTCTTTAGGGTGAATTCCCAGCAGTGGAATTGCTGGGTCAAATGGTATCTCTATTTGCAACTTATTAAGAAAGCGCCATACAGCCTTGTATAGTGGTTGTACCATTTTACACTCCCACAAACAGTGAATGAGGGTTCCAGTTTCTCTACAACCTCACCAGCATTTGATGTTTGCTGTTCTGCTAAATTTTGCTGTTCTGACTGGGGTGAGATGATATCTCATAGTTGTTTTGATTTGCATTTCTTTTAGAGCTAGGGATTTTGAACATTCTTCATGTGTTTGTTTGCCATCTTGCCATTACAGAAGTCCGGAGTGAAGGCTGCATAGTGGAGTGGACTTGGGAGGGATTGCATAACAATGAAAGTTTTCCTTTGTTTTCAAGGAGAAGAGTGAATTGGGGGAGGGGGTAGTTAGGAAGAAAAGTGCAACAATGAATGACTGGAAACCCTAAGTCTCTATAAACTTTCAGTAAACTTAATTAAAAAATTTTTAAAAAAAAATGTAAAGCTAAAAAAAGAAAACCCCAAAACAAAAAAAGTTTTAGTGGGAAGATGAATCTTGATTCTATGGATTTGTATATAGAAGAAATTAATGGATCAAATAAAAATATTGTTATGTTAAAAAAAGGACAACTTTGTAAAATATTTTATCAAGTGCAGGGGCCACCTGGAAGACTGAAATATTTTGCCCCTCTGAAACACAAGAGGTTTCTCTGGGTCTTGGAAACATGAGGGCAAAGGCCAAATCTGTTCTGTCCTGTGACCCCCGGATTCCTGAATTGTGGTTCAGTGAGTAATCACAGAGGATTGTGAGATGGTTAGATGGACACCTGAACAGATGGATGGATGGAGCTAGATATCACACTGTCTCAGAAACTTTTCCCAGAGATTCTCTGAGAAAGTGGTAAGAGACAAGAGAAGAAGACAGGAAAGAGACTATGCCTTCTAAGCTTCCTTAACCAGATACAAACATTCACAGACACTAATAATATGTGAGCTCTGGTAGCTTAGTCGTAAGGACTTGTGCTGCCAACCTAAAGGCACATGGTTCAAATCTACCAGTTGCTCTGTGGGAGAAGGATGGGCACTCTCCTCACACACTATTTACTGCCTCTGAAAACCCCCTGGATGGTCAGCTACAAAGGGACACAACAATAAAATATAAAACCCTGTATTAAAAGAAGATCCCTGTGGTTCAGTGAATTGTTTAATATAACTTGTTAGTTCCTATAGAATGACTGCCAACGACTATGCAAATGAGGTACTTGTGGCCCATCAAAGGGATCGAATTATTTGCTAATAATGTAATTAAGATGCATGGAACCCTTGGGGGGAGGCATGCAAATACAGAAAATCCCCTAGCAATGGGACTGGTCAATTTTGCCATTCTTTAATTTTTTTTAAAATTTTTAAAAAAAAATATTTTTAAGGGGAGTTCTGGTGGCCTAGTGGCAAGAAGCTGTACTGCAATCCCAGAGGTACACGGTTCAAATCCACCAGATGCTCTGCCTGAGAAGGAGAAACAATTTCCTCCTGTACCTTTCATATCTGATTTGACGGTACATGCACAAAAAATAATAAAAAAAATTTTTTTACTTGTTCCATTCTTAAAAAACAGCCTGCCCAAAGGCAGAAAGGAGAACTATGTGACCACAGAAAAAGAAAAGTCAGGAGGAAGTTGAGTGTATCCTTTGGACTTTTGATTCCTGTGCAGAGACTCTTCTACACTGAGAACAAGGAGAGAAAGGGAAAGAGAGTGCACACTGTAACAACAGTGATTTCAAGAAGCAGTGACAGAAGCATGGCCATGGTGGAGGCAACAGAACCAGGAGATGGAGTGGTGGGCTCCTGGCCCATAGAGCCAGAGAGCTGAGCACCTTCCGGAAGGATGCTTGGTGGTGGAGTGAGGCGCCTCTCAGTACTTACTAGCTAAGGTGAAGAGCTTTGCAATATTTAGTAGGGCAGAGCTTAGGCCATGAAACCTGGGCCAAGAGAGAGGTGTGCCTGCAAGCACAGCTGAGAAGTTGTACTGACCTGAGAGCTTTATCATGAGCCTGAATTGTACCTGAACTACAACCTATTGTTGTTGTTGTTGATGATTGCCTTCAAGTTGAGCAGGACTCATAGTGACCCTATGAACAAAAGGCCTGAAGCCCCTCTGCAACTATAGACATTTATCAAAGTTCATAGATTACTCCTCTAATAAATGTCATGAGTATGGTCTGTGAGCTCTGTGTGGCCATTACAGCAGATTATCAAACCCAACAGAGAAGTTGGTGTCTGAATTAGTAGAAGGCTTGGAAGTTGGAGGCATGATGATTTTCTCTCCCCCTCATAAGTTAGAGGAAGCCATTTTTCCAACTCCTGAGTATTGTGTAGGTCAGAGACCAAGAGGAAAATATAAATGCAAGAAGATAAACTTGGGACTAAACAGGAGGTAGAAGAAAGAACAGTGGTCATCGGGCAAGTAATTTAAATAACAACCAAAAAATATGTTTCTTCCAATTTCAGTCTATATGCCACCAGCTTAAAAAAAAACCCTCAGCAGATTCTCAAAGATTCACACAAAATTAAAAACTAATCAGCCAAGAGATGCCTTATGAAGCAAAAAAAGATGTCTTGGAGCAATATGTGCTTTGGTGTTCTAAGTAAGCTGAAATGTCATTTGTAAAACTAATGGAAAGCCTACTACATTCTCAGGATAAATGGTTCTGGTGGAGTTTTTGTGTTTCCCTTTTGTTTTATTCACTGCAATAATAATTTGAAACCATTGCCTTTGACCAAGTCGTGATATGAACACACACACCACTGACTTCTCTAAGCCAGTCACTAAAGAGGCCATCATACCCACTCCCTTTCATAGAGTGTGGAGAGCCCTGGTCTGATGTAATCCCTTCGGGACTGACTCCAAGGCCATTTCTCATCAGTGGGGCCAGACATGAGCCGATCACTGCAGAGTACTAAGAATCAGGCTCTTGTTTTGGGAAATCCAAAGGTCCCACTAGGAGCTGGGCCGCTGTTTTACAAGCACAAGACCTTTAATCCCCTTAGCGTTCATAACAACAGCATGTTGTTCCATTCTAGATCACGAGATTTATCCTTGAAAAAATAGGCAAAGGAAGAAATCCATAGCCTGTCCTGAATCACTTACCACGCTGAGACAATTGTATGCCTAAATTAGACTTCCAGCTACCTTGTTAAAAATAATTTAAAAAAAATATCCTAAAGGTTGTTATTTGTGGCAACTAGGCAGATAAATCTCCCAGTCTATCAGATTACAGTTTCTTGGAAACAACTGTTTATATTTTAAAATACCCGTGGCGTTTATTTCGTATATCTGACCAAAATCATATAGGAAATAGTTGAAAATACCTGTTTGCCATCTTTAATCTAAGTCCTAAAGCTGTTAAGAATGTGACTTGAGTCCCAAGTATTCAGTCACCATCAGCTGGAGTTAAGCCAACTCCGACTCATGGGAATAGTCATCTGTGTCACAGTAGAACTATACCCCACAGGCCTTTCCAACGTTGTTCTTATTTAGAAGTAGATCACCAGGCCTTTCTTCTGAGGTACCTCTGGATAGACTCGAACTTCCAACCTTTCCAAGTTAACTGAACCACGCTGGGAGTTCTAAGGACTCCAGTAGCATGCAGTAATCCATCTACCCTTTTGTTTCTAAGAAAACTCCACAAATTAGCACAATCATCGACCCACTCGATACCAAGTTTTCTAAAAAATGTTTTCAGAAGAGTTGTACTGTGTCAGTCACTTTTAGACTGTCTTGCTAAAATCTCTATCCCTGCCAGCTTTCTGGCTGAAGGGTCTGTGGCACGTGGAGCCTGAGCTTATCTGTCACTCTTCATCAGTGTTGGGTACACTGTAGACTTTCAGAGAAGGTTCCTGAGTCCCATGGAACCACAACAGAGGTGCTGTCCAATGAGTGGGCTGGCCCAGGTAGACAAAGATCAGGAATGGAGGCTTGTGCTTCTCCCATCATTCCTTTGGCCACCCTACCCACCCCTTGGTGGTATCTAGGGAAGTCCTTGGAGCTTTCCAGTCACTTCCAGCTATTACAGTGTCTGGCCCAGTTTAATCAGGATTCTGGCCAAAGCATGGGCCATGTCTTGCAGGCCCAGCTCTCTGCTCCCACAGACTGTGGCTTGAGCAGGCCTAGGAACGGTGATCATTCACTCTCCTTACTCCCTTCTTCTCAGTCTCATCCTCTCCTCCATCTCCCTTTCCCGTCCTGAAATGAACCCAAAAAGGGCACCCTGATAAACAAAGACAGAGCCTCATTGACATTTCAAATTCACCAGAGGCTCCAAGAGAGGAAAGCTAGACAATCTCCTTCTGTGCTATTTACACCCTTGGAAACCCAGTGAAAGGTCAGCTATGTATCGGTTCCAAGTCAAGGACACTGAAATGGAAAGAAAAAGATCTGTAATGAACCAGGTTGCTATTTTATATCCCAGTTGATATGCTGTGTGCACCCCTGCAGAGCCTGATTCTGACCGTTGAGTCAGAACCGACCCATAACTGACTCTCTGGCAGGTTTTCAGAGGTAGTTTAATCGCACAGGAGGAGATTGCCCATCCTTCTCCCGCGGAGCAGCTGGGGGATTTGAACCACGTGCCTTCTGTATTGCAGCACAGCTTCTACCACTCGGGCACCAAGGATTAGCAGGGAGCGAGGCCGCTGTCTGAGGGCTGGCTGGCTCCCAGAGAGGAATGGATGCACACTCATCAGCTCCTGTGAACTCCCAAACCTGATAACCTCTTAAGAGAGGAGCAAGTCGGAAATCACAGAGAGTGATCCCGAGACTTACCTTTAATGGATGATCTGTTTTAGGAAAGCAAACGGCATCAACTGAGAAGGAACTCTCCTTTTGAAGAACAGACATCACTGTCAAACTATTAAGAATTGTGCTAAGTGCGTGGACTTAATGAAGCAGGTGCTACAATGTGATGCAAACAGTGGGAAGAATCTATATGCACTCACATTCTTTCCAGAATGACAATGGAGTTAGTTCTCTGGAACCTAGGCTTGTAGCAAGCTCGAAGTGCAGAATGCTCAGGTGACAGAGCTGCAATGCTTTGGATTATTTCTCTTCAAAATGCCCATTTTTCAAAGAACACAGCTAGTGTTCTTTAAAGGGTAAGAAGAGCTAGATTACTTGAAGTTTTTCTCATGTTCACTTAAAAAAAAAAGTGCCTCTTCAATATTTTAGACTGAAGAATGAGTTTCCAGACCAAATTTTGGACTAGTGTGTGATGCGGAATGACACGTGACAGTGAGATTTGTTCGCTGTTTGCTTACTCTGTGGATTCTCTGTTGGGCATTTTCTTCATGGAGAAAGCCACCATCGCCTTGAAGAGATATTCTTCACTTGTGTCCCAGGTATACTGGAAGAGAAGAAAACCAGATGACGAAAGGGAAGAGGCAGAGGAAATGGAATGAGAATGGAGGTTAGCTACCTTCTGTGTGTGTACCTGACATATATACACCTGCCACCACTGAGTCAATTCCAGCTCTGGGTGACTCTGCGGGGTGTTTCCGGGGGTGGGGGGACCTGCCCGTCTTTCTCCTGTGGACCCGCTGACCTTTGAGTTAGTCACGCACTATTCCTTTGACATATGCTCAATGAAAACCAACAACAGACACACAAAACCCCCAAACACTAAGTCAATTCTGACATCAGGTAAGTGTGTGGACTTGAATTTCACAGATATTCACTGCCCGGACAGGACTTTGGAGAACAAATGGCACCAATTAATTAGCTTATTTATCCATCACGTCAGATGATTCCTTGGCTTGTCACTTCAGTATTATGTGTGTTAAGGATTTAAATGTCCTGGTTCTCCTCCTCTTTTGTCCAAACATCCTAGAACATTTAAACCAGGACTGACTCCACGTTTTAGATGAGTAATCAAGTGTAACTCGAGAAAGTTATAAGACGGGGCTCTGGGTTTAACTATCAGCTCATTCTTGGCTTAACCATCAGGTAGTGAGCAAGCATCTCTCTCATTCATATTCTCTCTCTCTCTCTCTCTCTCTCTCTCTCTCTCTCTCTCTCTCTTTCTTTCTCGTGACTATGTAAAACTTACTCAAACCTTATTGCTGTGGAGTCCTTAATGGACCCATAACTGACCCTCCAGCTGATTTTCAAAGGCTATAAATTGAAGGAGGGCAGAAGACCCCTCTTTCTCCCTTAGAGCAGTTGGTGGATTTGAACCACTTGCCTTTGGATTGGCAGCATAACTTCTTACTAGGCCATGCTTTCTCAGAGCCCCCAAAGTCCAGAACTTTAAATCACACCTCACTGTTACTAGAGACTCTTCCTGTATGTTTTATGGAGAAATCATTTAAAGACAACAGTTGAAAGTCTCCCATCCTCCAGATGCCGAGATAGAACAGTTCTTCCACAGACACGCCGTCTATCCACCTCCTCCCTTGAAGTGTTAAACAGGACATTTTCTCACCCTGCTTATTGCTCTACCTCAAGTGTTTCTTCACTGCCCATCTTAGGACCTACCTAGTCAACTCCCCACTAAGAGTTGCCTTTGCACTGTGGTGGAGGTGAAGGATATTGAATATTCCCTGGACTTGCCAGAAAAACAAACACAAATCTATCTTGAGAGAAATGAAGCCAGAGTGCTCTTTAGAAGCCAGGATGGGGAGACTACCTCACATACTTCGGGCATGCTGTCAGGAGGGGCCAGGAGGAGACATGCTAGGAGATGCAGAGGGTCAGTGAAGGAGAGGAAAACCACCCCCTCCATGGAGACAAACTGACCCAACAGTGGACTTAAGGGCAGCAGAGACTGCCAAGACGGGACAGGACCAGGCATGGTTACGTCTCAGTGCTGACTCGATGGCACCCAACACCACAAAACTAGGGCTTGTCCATGTACTTCCAAACACACGCAAGCTGGCCTTGTTTTAAAAACAAAAACAAAAACAAAAACACCTCAACAAAACACGAAGGACCTACTTAACTCAATCCCCCTTTCTACCATACATGTTGGTTCTCGTCTGCTCTTCTCAGCCTAAATTCCCAGAAGAGCTTCCCTGTTTTCACATGTTTACAGATAGGGGCTCAGTTGTGGCCCCCAAAAGGATTAAAGTCTTATCCCCGAGGACCTGTGAGTGTGACCTCCTTGGGAAACATCTTTTCTTTGGATGTCATTAGTTCAGGCAGTGTTAGGTTGCACTGGAGAATGGGCGCTTAACCCAGTATTACTCGTGTCCTTATAAAAAGAGAAAAGACACAGATGCAGAGCCAGAAGGCAGGCCGTGAAGTGAGGATGGAAGTGGGAATTGGAGTACTTTGTCTGTAAGTCAAGGAATGCTTGGCATCACCAGAAAAAGCAGCACGGGAGGGCTTAGCTTCCAAAGAAGCTTCCAGACTGGGAGAGAATGTCTGTTAGGGCACTTAGAGGCAATCAAGCCATTTATTGCTCACTTAATCTCAACCCAATCCTTCATCAGCTTCCAGCCCCACTGCTCTTCAGAAACGGCTCATTCTAAAGTCACCTGTGTATGCTTAACACGATGCACACTTCTCAGCCTTCATCTTGTTTGGCCTCTCGGCAGCATTTGATGACCTTGAAGTCGCCATCATTTTTGTTTTGTGACTTGAGGGAAAGTTTGTGTAGCAGACTGGCTTTTCATTCAACCACTCATGTGCAGTTTGTTTTATAACATTAACTCCAATCCCCACAATGTCACCATCCCGTCCCACTCCCTCTCTGGAGTTCTCATTTCCATGAAACCTTCTATCCTACCTCTTCTTGTTTTCTGTGCATTATCACTGGACAGATATTGCCCTTTGACCTTATATGGCTGGTTATTCCAAGGAGTAAGCCTCCCTGCTGCAACTAGTCACCTTATTGTCCTACCTATCATTTGCCTGAGAGTTGAGTCACAGGAATGGGGAGGTGAGTTTTGTCCCTCCATCTGGAAACTCTTCCCTTTTGTGGTACGACATGCCTGCTCTTCCGTGCTCCTTACTGTTTCACCTTCAGGGACTGGACTTCACGTTTCAGAGAGCCTGTGGTCATTGTGTACTTTCTTGCTTGGCACTGTCACTTGTCCATGGATTGTTAATCAGATTCATGAGAATGAATCACAGATGTATGTCTCAGGCCAACTCTGTTCTCTGCCTGTGTGTCCAGTGATACCTCAAACTCCTTATACCCCAAAGCACAGCCATGATTTTCTTGTCTGCATCCTGTTCCCTGGCTCATGTATGGGCCATCAGCTCAGCTGTATCTGTAGAAAAAGGGCTTCCCCCCCTTGATACCACCTCCCTCTCCTTCCTTGTCACATTGTCCCTGTGACCCGAGAATCCCTTCCTCTCTCTCACTTCTCTCTCTCCACCAACACCACTGTCGCAAAGGCCCATCAGCTCTCCCTCCACTCTTCCCACGGCCTCCTCATTGATTCCTGCTCCCGAGTCCCTGCACTCTGTCTCTCTCACACTGTGGTGAAAGAGTCTGTCAAACGCTAAATCTACAGTGACCTTTTCCTTCTATAAAAATTACCAGTTACTTCACAGATACCATCAAAACCCCCTAATCTAACCCGCATAATCCTTCCTCTCTAAGCTATCCGCCTCCTCAAACCCCAGTTCCAGATACTTCTGTCTTCTCTCTGGTGCTCCCTCCCCACATGTTCCCTCTGTAATACACCCTTTCTCACATTATACCCCCAAACCGTCCTTCTGGTATCCCCTCACTCCATAGCAAGTAGTGTGTCCTAAGCCCCCCTCCCCAGGCCTACACCTTTGCATTTGGTTTTCTGACTATATCATTGACAGCCACCTCCCCTCACTGGCCTATGAGCTCCATAAGGGTGGGGACAAGCCCAATCTTGTCTGTCTCTGCATTTGGAGTGTGTAGGGTAGTCCCTGCCATGAGAGCATCCTGGGCAGAGAAACCTTCCCCGCTGCTAGAGAGAGTGGTTTCTGCAACCAGACTGCCCAGGTTCAAGTACTCCTTTCGCCACTTGCTGACTTGGGACCCTGAACAAGTCGCTTAATTTCTTTGTACCTCCCTTTTCCTCATTTGTCTCCAGGAACTGACAGGGGGCAGCAGGCTTGGAAAGATCCCACCTAGCAAGTAACCCGAGTCCCCAGGAAGTTCTGGCTGCTGTCCACCAGCTCTTCTGTGGGAATAAGAGGAGGCTGTTTGCTCCTGCGAAGATTACAGCCTCAGAGACCCCGGGAGACGGCACCGTGCTAGGTCCCACAGGGTCACTACAGGGCAGAACGACTAGATGGTACATAACAACATTTCCCCGGAAAGGGAACGTCAGATGTAAGGTCTCTAGGTTTAACATGTCCAAGTTTCCAGCCACTATGCAGTGTGAGCCGACAATACAATTGAAAATGACCCCCCAGAGTTCTACTTACTGATTTTTCTCCCAGGGCGGTTTTAATACTAAGTCTCACTTTAAAAGCGTTCTCTGCATCTGCCAGAAAGACGAAAAGGCAAGGCAGTCACAAAATCTGCAGGGGAGACCTGCTACATCGTAATACTTGATGTTACTGAAATCAAACCCACATCGAAGGGTGATTTAAGAGCCCAGATCCACCTGCCCAATTCATCCCCATTGTCTTGGATGGTTAAACCTTTTCCCCCCACGAATCCCTTAGACCAATCCCAGACTAAATCTCAAGCCTGCAGCTTTAGGGACACAAAGAGTTCTGGAAGTCACAAGGCCTATAACTCACTGAAAAAGTGATGCATTTGTTTTCCTGCAAGGTAACATACCTGGTTTACAAAGCTGAGCATGGGCACCAGCCACCAGGACAAAGAGAGGCCAAAGCATTCTTCCAGGATGGAAAGCAGGGCCAACCGGAGAACAGAAATCCACCCTTCACGCAGAACGGTCTTAGCTGTTGTGCGGCCGGATTAGAATAACCCGAGAAGCCGGCCAGCAGGCACCTCGCAGGTTACTCATTAACCGCCATCATTTGGGTCCTGGCTCTGCCAGGACAGCCCGGCCTCTGTCAGAGGCTGAAAGTCTGTGGGCCCCTCAGAGGATTCCTGGTCCTCTCCCCTCAGCCTGCCTCCCAGGAAGGGCTCCGCGTCCTTCTCCTCCTCTCACTGCCCACACTGCCTACTGCCCACCAGGAGCAGTCCCTTGAGGTGAAAAGCTTTCAGTCTTTTGAGGCTTAAAGTAGCACCTCAGAGATTGGCTATTGCAATCTGGGAAGCAAACCTCACCCCCTCCTGTCCTGGGGAACAAAGGATGCCCTTCTAGGAGGGCCCCCCCCTCACCTCTGCAGGTAAACATCCCAGGAGCTTCGCCCTGAAGACCTGGGTCTGTAGCTGCCTAAACTTCAGTTAATGATACACAGCAATGCTGCCCAAAGGGAATGTACGGCCGTGCTGTCCAGGAGGGTGGCCCTCGGCCTGGTGACAGCTGAGTGCTGGCCGTGTGGCTGTGCCAAGAGCCTGGGCTTTGCCTACGGTTGAATCCAAGCTGCCCAAGTGAGGCTGGTGTCTACACTGGCATGTGCAGTTGTAGTAACACCTATTCCAAACCAGATTATGCCAACCCTCAGGCCAACACCTGAAAACGGCTGTCGGTACAAAGAATGGAGCCAGTGGCACTCCATTTCACAGACAGAAACTGGGGAATGGGAAGATGCTTTGGTGGACTTATTTTCAGCACAGTGAAAGAAAGGGCGCCATTGCAGGGATCCTCCTCCACGTGAGGAAAGTGAAGCCCCTGTGGCTGGCGTGTCTGAGTCACTCCAGGCCATGCTGACTTCCACGGGAAGCTTATCTCTAGCACACAGCCATGCTGAGCCTCAAGACGGCAGAGGATGAAGCCCTCAGAGATGCTCTGAGGATTAAGATAAGCGATGAGAAGACTCTGTCCCATGCCGAGCTTTCCCCCAAAAGGAGGGCAGCATCCAAAACTAGCCTGGTGGGTCCAGCCATTTCACCACTTGAGGATATGGAAACTTCCAGCAAGGAAGAGCTCACTCAACTAATCTCTGCGAAATGTCAGCCTTGATGAAATCATCTTGTGAAATTATAGACCAGATAAGCCATCATGGGAAAAAGTCAATACCGGTGGAGCCCGAGACTGTCACAGGACAGGATATTTACTTCAACGGGCAAAGTCATGATCTTAAAGCCAGACATAGAAATCCGGTTCGGTTAAACACTCTGTAAACGTGACAAATGTTTCTTTTTTTGCTTTTGCTTAGTCATCTATGGGTCTAGTTAAAGACAGTCCAGTGTGGGGACAATCAGTGTCAGCCACCATTCCAAGAAGGGCCCGTTTCTTTGGAATTCTGATTTCTAAATGTTTGTTGACTCATTGAAAAGAAAATATCAAATAGAGGGGAGAGGAAACCCAACAAAATTTCTCTGTAGAAATTCTTTAAGTCTTAGTGGATAATGCAGATAAGCAGAAAAAGGGAAAAGCTGGGATTATTCATAATTCCACCAGCATGGCTAAACAAACAACTGGTAATAATTCATGATATCTGGAAAATTACTTTCTTAGTCTCAGATGTTCTTATGAGCATGTTCCTGTGAATACAGATATGGACTTCTTAAAAATAAAGTTGCAGTCAGCATTATTCACCATCACAAGAACACGGAAACAGCCCAAATGTCCAACCACAAATGAATGGATTGAGAAATTATGGTACATTCACATAATGGAGTACTATGCAGCATGCTGGAGCAATAACTCTGTAAATTATTACCTAACTTGGGAGGGACTGGAGAGCAGTATGCTGTGCAAACTCAGTCCCACAAGGATAAATATTGTATAAGACTGTTATTGTAGAAGGAGTATAAGGATCCAGGAGGGGTGAGAGAGGCTGGAAGCAGAGAGATGTGGGTGTACGGGATGAAGGGAGGGATTAATCACTAGGTTGCATAGTTTGATGGGTGGGGAGGTGATGGAAATTGGAAGAATTTGTGTTAGAATTTTGTAAATAAACTAATGAAAATAAAATAAAATTGCAATCACAGAGCTTCAGATGTTCCCTCAAAACTTGAACATTGTCTTATGAATATACTTCTGTGTCATTAGCTCTTCCTCAATGGCATCCATTTCATGACTGTCTGACATTGCATTCATTTCTAAAATCTGTCACAAGCTTTTAAACTTGCAATTTACTGCCTGGTGTTTATAAAGAATCCTCCAATAAAGGTTCTTGAACCTAACATTTCCATCCCCCGCCCCCGTGCATTTCTGATGCTATCTTTCAGATAAAGTCTTAAACATTATAATTTAGGATCAAAATGTATTCAGAAATGTAAGGTTTTGATGCATGTTCATTTCCTCTCAGACAGATGATACTAATTCATGTACTGCTTACTGGCTCTGAAAACCTGCTGGAGGGTCAGCTATGGGTCTGGTGCACACTCGACAGCATATACCAACAACATCCCGTGTCCTAGTCTTCAGAACTCTTTGGGGAAGCCAATGGTATGGGCTCTGCTCCATACTGAAGCCACTTCCTGGAGTGGATTCTGACTCATGGTAGCCCTTCACTGGGTTTCCAAGGCTGTGAACCGTGTGGGAAGAGATGCCCTTCATTCTCCCATGGAGCAATTGGTGGGTTGGAACCACATGCCTTTGGCTTTGCAGTGCAACTCCTTACCAATAAGCCACCAGAGCTCCCTTCATGAGATCATGTTGTTGTTGTTATGTGCTGTCGAATCACTTGGGACTCATAGCAACCCTGTGTATGTACAGCAGCTCTGAAGCCTGCCCTGTCCTGAGCCAGTCTCAGTGATTCCAACACACCAACCCCTATTGCCCCAGTCACTGTATCAATCCATCTCATCTGGGGTCTTCCTCTCCTGCACTGTCCCTCCACCCTTCCAAGCATGATGTTCTTCTTCAACAACTGGTCCCTCCTGGCCATGTGCCCAAAGTATATGAGATGGAGCTTCAAAATCCTAGCCTCCAAGGAGAAACCATCTCCAGGACAGACCAATTTGTTTTCTTGGCAATCAATCCATGTTATGTTCAAGACTCTTCTCTAGCACCACAATCCAAAGACATCATTTCTTCTTCTGTCATCCTTAGTCATTCTCTATCTCTCTGATACATAACAAGTAATTGCAAAGACCATGGCCTGGATTAAGCGCAGTTTTGTCTCAAGACTGACATTATTGTTTTTCAGCACTCTGGAGAGGTCTCTGACAACAGATTTTCCCAATGCAATTTGTCTGTTGATTTCCTGACTGCTGGTACAAAGAGTGTTGATTGTGAAGCCAAGCAAGCTGTAATTGCTAACAACCTCAATCTCTTCTCCATCTGTCATGGTGCTGCCAATTGACTCAATGGTGAGAATTTTGTCGTCTTGATGTTGAGCTTCAATCCATATTGAAGACTACAGTCCTAGACCTTCTGCAACAAGTGCTTCAGGTCATCCTTTGTTTCCACAAGCAAGTTGTATCATCTGTGTAACGGAGGTTGTTGATGAGTCTTCTTCCAATCCTGATGCCACATTCCTCCTCATAAAGCCTAGCTTTCCAAATGATTTCTTCTGCATATAGATTGAAAAGGTATGCATCCCTGATTCACTCTCTTCCTGATTTTGAACTATGCACTTTTTCTTTGCTCTAGTCTGAGGACATTTTCCTGGTCCAAGTATAGGTTTTGCATAAGCACAATCAAGTATTCTGGGATTCTCATTCTCCCCAAGGTTAGCCACAATTTGTTGTGATCCACACAGTCAAATGCCTTTCCATAGTCAATGAAACACAGATGGACATTCCTCTGGTACTCTCTGCTTTCTGCCAAGATCCATCTGACATTGGCAATCATGTCTCTATTGCCACTACCTCTTCTAAACCCATATTGTATTTCTGGTAGTTCTCTGTCAATGTACTGCTCCCAGTTTTTTTGTTGTTCGGTTATTGGGTTTTTTTATCATCTTCAGGATTTTGCTTGTGTGTGATATTAGTGATATTGTTTGATAATTTCCACACTGTTTGGGTCATTTTTTTTTAGAATGAGAATATATATGGATCTCTTCCAGTAAGTTTGGCAGGTAGTTGTGCTCCAGATTTTTACCAATAACTATTGGTATAACTTTATCAAGTGCTAGTTTTTACCAGCTAGTGTATTGTAATGAAACATTTCTTCACATTGACTCAACCCTTAGATAAACTCAGTTTTACTGTTTTAAACATACTGCTAGACTTATTTTCCTGTGTCCATGCTTTGTGAATTCTGTGTTTGAAACCTATACCTAGACCACGAAGCTATTGTCCAAATGGAGCAAGGAACAGTACATGGTTTAAAATTAGGAAAGGTATGCATCGGGGTTGTGTTCTTTCTCCATTCCGTTCAGTCTGTATGCTGAGAAAATTATTTGAGAAGCTGGACTCTATGAAGAAGAGTGTTGCATCAAGATAGGAGGAAGACTCATCAACAATCTGCATTATGCAGTTTGCTAAAATTGAGGAAAACCTGAAACGCTTGCTGTGGAAGATCAAGGATCTTCAATATGGATTGCATCTCCACATCAAGGGGTGGGGGAAAATCTCGCTACTGGGCCAATAGACAACATCATGGTAGATGTAGAAAATACTGAAGTTGTTAATAATTCAATCTTCCTTAGATTCACAATCATCGTCTATGGTACCAGCAGTCAGGAGATCAGGAGATGCATTGCATTGGGCAAGTCCTCTGTTAGGACCTCTCCAAATTACTGAGGAACAATGATGTCAGTTTAAAGACTTAGATGTGCCTGATTCAGGCTATAGTTTTTTCAGTCACTTGCAATATGTTTGAGAGCTGGACAGTGAATAAGGAAGACAGAAGAAGAATTGATGCCTTTA